GACTGTCTCAGCAAAAAAAGAGAGTTTTCTGTCACTGGAGGGATTTAGACATAGCTCAATGACAAATGTCAGAGATGGTGTGGAATGATGAAATCCATGATATCGTAGGTGGTGTGGATAAGCCCTGGTATGGAGTGTGAGTTTAGAACTCTTAATCCCTTAAAACTTTGAGGTGCTGGGAATTACCCTGTCAGAACTGGCGTTGTCGGTATCACTGATGGTGTAGGTTATTCATACAAGGAAGACCCAAATGTTCAGATTGTTTCCCCTGGCTCAGTTTTATAAACGGCTTAAGAAAGCTTCCCTTTGTCCTTAATGCAGTTTGCTTTTGGTCATACATTTCAGTAATTTTCAATCCAAAAAATTTTAGTTTTATGTATCTCAGTTTCTCCTACATAAAGTCAGTGAGACCAACAGATTTTATTTCCCTTCAATTGGGCCTTAATTTTGTAAACAAATGGAATTAACTTGCTATGGATTCACTATTGTCACATCACTTCCTAATATCACATCTGTCACAAATAGTTTTTAACAGGAACTCACTGCCTCTAGCTTTCATGCTGTTCAAGTCATTGACTGAGTTGCCAGCAGATTGAATATTTAAAAGGCAAAATGTTTGTCCCATCACAAAGAAATTCTAAATTACTCAACTTAAAATAGGAACTTCGCATTTGGTCTTCTTCCCTTTTGAATAGCTTAAACTCATACCATTTCTGCTTACAAACCAATTTATATGATAAAACAATTATCAATTAGCAATCCCAGCATATATTACATTCTTCTGTAATTTTATACAAACTATTTTCTGTTCTTTGAATGCCATTGTCTATCTCCTTTATTTGGCTAATACCTACTAAAGAATTATGACTCTGGATAGCCCGTATTGTTCTGCCCAATTTGATTAAAGATACATAAATTCATTAATCCTCATTAAATTAGGGGCTCCCCCCCAAATATGAAAACCTAAAACAATTGTTGCCAATGTCTGATGTGCTACTGTCATCAAAAGAGTAGGAAACAGGGATCCTGCTAAGCCTCTTACAGTACAGGTGGTATTGCCTACAGCAACAGCAAAGAATCTATCTGGCCTCCGATGTCGAATGTGCTGAGAGTGAGAAACCCTGCCCTAGCAGAATATTCTTTTCATTTTTCTCTTCATCCTCATATTGCCTACAGCAACAGCAAAGAATCTATCTGGCCTCCGATGTCGATTGTGCTGAGAGTGAGAAACCCTGCCCTAGCAGAATATTCTTTTCATTTTTCTCTTCATCCTCTCATTGCTCACAATATGTACTTCAGCAGAACTTCAATTTGTATATTACCTTTCCAAAATTCTCCAGGTCAACGATTACTCACATGGCCATGTTAAATTTCCTAAATTTCTGTTCTTGATAAAGGCAGTAGTATACATTTTTGAGCCACATCATAGAGATTGCTGGCTAATACATAGATGATATCCTGTTGGAAAAGTGAACATAAATCAGACAGATAGCACATAATAAGCATGAACTATACAACATGCACTTTACCTACTTGGTGAATTAACGAGGTGAAATGGGTGTCATTTCTATCAGAATCTAAACAGTTCACACTGACTTAAAATTTTAGTGTTTTGTAGGATCAACCTGGCTGTATTTAGTTACCTGCTAATATGTATTTTATAACCCTTTCTAAATTACAATTATAAAATCTTAGAGGATACAAATTTGTTTCATTTGTTCATTCTGGGTTAATATTACAAATAATTTGGATTCTGAGAGATATACCTATAAGAAGTCTTAGATTCTCAAATAAGGTAATGATGTAATATCATAAGGTAAGGAAGGTAAAATATTCAAAAATTATTAAAGATTTTAGGAGGCGAATGATATTTAACACATTTTTGATAAATGGTAGATGGTATTTTTTTTCAATTTCAAGCACCCTGAAAAATAGAGATACTTCATAAATACAGAAATGATAAATTTATATTTTTTTCCTTTGCTTCAAAAATACTTGGAATATAGTTAATAGTTAATAATTTTTTGTTGGACAAAATCACTAGCAAATAAACATCTAATTTGTTTGTAGTAATGCGAGCCTGTGTTGTGAGGAATATCTGGTTTAACATATTGTGTATTAGCTTAAAAGAAGAGTTCCTGAGACAGGAAAAAAGCCCTGCACAGTGTTGGATAGGTTTTTGAAAAGGAAATAATTAAGGTTCTTTTAATTGACCTCGATTGACTTATAGAAACCCTTTCATATGCCAGATACAATCTAAGTTTATCCAGGAGGAAAAAAATCTTGCAGCATGATGGGGAGGTCATAATTGTGAGATATTTATTTTAGTCACCAAACTGTTATTTTAGACCATCCTCACACTCTTTGTCTATTTATATTATACTCTACTTTTCAGAGAATGTTTTTCAATTACTAAAAGAAAATAAATAAAAATTTTAAATTATTCAATTTTGTAATATTCAGGAGTGAAAATATTTTCTTGAAGAAAAGATACATACAAGTTAGAAACAGTCAGCAGGCAGGGAACAACACTTTAGCTTTGGAAGATAAATAGGAAGAGCCACTCTGCACTGTAACAGAGATAAGATTCAGGTCTGGCATAAAATAGTCCCATGGAAAACCATGTACAGAAGAAAATGTTCAGCTCTACAGAAATAATTGTAGTTTGAGTGAATTGAACATGAATGAAGCTGTAAGTAAAGACAAAATTATATTTAGTAGAGAGTTCAATGTTATTTCAAATGGTTGAGCAGAAATGACAATTCAGGCTTAGGAAGGAAATAATGGTTATGGCTGGGAGAGAAAATGCCAGGGACTATAGATTCCAGTTGATATTAGATACAAGGGATGCGCACATAGCAGGACATGGAAAGTGAGAACAAGGACTGAGAGAAACTGCTGAGGAAAAGACCCGTGACTTAAAAAACAATAAATTTATTTTCTCAGAGAATAAGTAGGACAAGATGTAAGATGTATAGTTGGATTTTGGAAGACACTAAATGTTTGAAAAACTAGGTTAAAAATATTCTGTGAGATTCTATGAGAGCAAGAACAGACTGTGAAGACATTAACTTCACAAAACCAACTATGAGTTGCAAAACTGAAAAATACTCCAGCCAAACTCTACATTGATCAAATTAAATGTTCTACCACCACTGTGAACACTACATGTCCAGCACAGGTACTGTCTCCTTCTGGAAAATCTTCACATTTTATTAAATAATTTTTTCCCCAATTCCATTTCGCAGGTTACATAAAACGCACACAGGACGAATAACAAACAACAAATAAAGGGTATCTGGTCCTGTAGTCATAGGCCAGGTAATATTTCATCTTGTCCATTCAATCTGTTCATTGAAAATGACTAACGCACAAAGAAACATGAAACCTGATGATTGGTCTTTCCATGACTTTGAGAAAGGAGATAGAAAATCACAAGGAAGTTGTTGGGATAGAAAATATAAGATAAGATGCTACCTATAGAACTAAGGTATTGCTAAAATAAAATAATAACTTCTCATTTTTAATTCCTGATGTCATCACAGGGAATAGAAGATGCAACACCGCTTGATTCTACTGACCAAATCACCATGATCACATTCAATGGTTCAGTCTTCTTGCCCTCTGTATTTACACTAATTGGGATTCCCGGCCTAGAATCAGTGCAGTGCTGGATTGGGATTCCATTCTGTGCTATGTATCTCATTGCTGTTATGGGGAATTCCCTAATTTTAATTATAATCATATATGAAAACAGCCTCCATATACCCATGTACATTTTGTTATCTATGTTGGCAACGACAGACATTGCCCTTAGCACCTGCATTCTTCCTAAAATGCTAGGCATCTTTTGGTTTCATTTGCCAGAGATTTCTTTTGATACCTGCTTACTGCAGATGGGGCTTATTCACACATTCCAGGCAATGGAGTCAGGCATCCTCCTGGCCATGGCCCTAGATCGCTACGTGGCCATCTGTGACCCCTTGAGACATGCCGCCATCTTCTCCCATCAACTCTTGACTCATATTGGACTCGGGGTGACACTAAGGGCTGCCATCCTTGTAGTACCTTCCCTTTTGCTTATCAAATGCCGTCTTAAACTCTTCCGAACTACAATCATCTCCCACTCTTATTGTGAGCACATGGCCATTGTGAAATTGGCTGCTGAAGATATTCGAGTCAACAAGATATATGGTCTATTTGTTGCCTTCACCATCCTTGGGTTTGACATCATCTTTATTACTTTGTCCTATGCTCAAATCTTTATCACAGTCTTTCGATTGCCCCAGAAGGAGGCACGATTCAAGGCCTTCAATACCTGCATCGCCCACATCTGTGTCTTCCTCCAGTTCTACCTCCTGGCCTTCTTCTCCTTCTTCACACACAGGTTTGGTTCCCACATCCCGCGATATGTCCATATCCTCTTGTCAGACCTTTACCTGCTAGTCCCGCCTTTCCTCAATCCTATTGTCTATGGAGTGAAGACCAAACAAATTCGTGACCATGTCCTGAAAATGCTCTTCTTCAAAAAGACACCTTGATTATTAATGACTCCTTCTATAGAGATTTTGAGTTGGTTCTAAGTAACAACCTCAATGTGGGGAAAACTTATGTCTTCCTCAAATATGTACATCTGAAATAAAATCTTTCTATCTCATAATTTGAGGAGGTTTTCAGGAAATCTTCAAATGTTTAATAACTTACTCATGAGGGGAAAAAAAAACTCTCTTATGCTGTGACTTGAAATCATTTATTTTTTTCTGGTTTTGGCCCTTTTGATTAAATATAGAAGTTTTCTCTGATACTACTTAGATTTATATAAAAAACAATTTCTGAAGACAGCACTAGATTATAGATACTTTCAGAGAGTGTGTAACACACTGATATTTTCAAACTGCTGCTCCAACCCGTACCTACCTTAAATTCTGGGTATGGATCACTTCCTAATATTGGCTTTTGTATCAACATTTTGACAAATTTAACATAACTTATCTGTGTTTTATGTATTTTCTCTGAAATACTTATCAATATAAAGATTTATAAA